CGGCAACTTGGTCGACTGAGGAAAAGGAGATGAAAGATCTGAAGGCGTCGTCGCAGATCCGTCTGCATCTTTCTAACGACGTTCTCCAAGATGTGTTGAAAGAGACATCCGCAGCGGCTCTCTGGCTAAAACTCGAGCATCTACTTATGACGAAAAGCTTGCCCAACAAGCTACACTTGAAGCAACGACTTTTTAACCTAAAGATGGGTGAAGGTAGTTCTTTGTCTGATCACCTCTCTACCTTTAAAGAGCTTGTAGGAAATCTGGAGAATATGGACGTCAAATACGAAGATGAAGACTTGGCGTTATTTTTATTATCTTCTCTCCCAGACTCCTACGATCACTTTCGTGACACCATTATCTATTCTCAGGACACTCTTGTCCTTGACGAGGTAATGACTGCTCTTGATTCAAAGGAAAAGATGAAGCAGATAGTTGGGAACAGTAGCAGCGATTCTAAAGCCGAAGGTCTCAACATCAGAGGGAGACCTAACGAGAGAGGTAGCTCTTCACAAAACCGATCTAGATCTAAGTCCAAAGCCAATCGCAAGTATTGCAATTATTGCCACAAGAAGGGACATCTGATCGATGAATGTTTCAAGTTAAAGAACAAGGAGAAAGCAAAGGCAATCGCAAAGGGAAAAACAACCAATAACACCGTTGAAGCCGATGTTGCCGAAACTGGTTCCGATGGCGAGCTTCTATCCGTTTCAGACTACGGTTTAATGACCACGAGTGAGTGGGTACTTGATTCAGCGTGTACTTTTCATATGTGCTCCAACCGAAGCGTTTTTCATTCATATGAAAAGGTTAACGAAGGCCACGTTCTAATGGGTAACGACACTTCGTGTCGTATTATTGGACGGGGTACACTCAGGTTCCGCATGTTCGATGGCGTTGTTCGAACGATTCAAGATGTGAAGCACGTATCCGGTCTTAGGCGAAATTTACTAAGTCTCGGTACTTTCGAGAAGAAAGGTTACGAGTTTGTTGGCAAAGACGGGAAACTCCATATTTTCAAGGAAGGTTCTGTGGTCATCCGAGGAGTTAGAAAATCCGCAAACCTTTACATTATGGATGGGCAAGTTATCTCCGGCGAAGTCTCGGTATGTTCTAAATCCCTCTCCAACGTTGATCGCTCTCGTCTATGGCACCTCAGGCTCGCTCACATGTCATACCATGGTATGAATGAACTAAGTCGAAGGGGGTTGCTCGGGGAGCACAAATCAATCGAACTTGAATTCTGTGAAGATTGTGTATTTGGAAAGCAGAAGCGAGTGAGTTTTATCGGTGGCAAACATACGACGAAAGGGCCACTTGACTACATACACTCTGATTTATGGGGACCAGCAAAGCTTACATCGAAAGGTGGAGCCTCTTATATGCTCATGATCATTGACGATTTCTCAAGAAAGGTATGGTCGTTCTTCTTGAAGTCAAAGGGAGAAGTATTCCAAACTTTTAGAGATCGGAAAGTATTGGTTGAAAAGCAATCAGGTTTTGAAGTGAAATACCTTCGTACTGATAATGGACTGGAATTTTGTTCTGAAGAATTCAACTCCTATTGCCGTAGGGAAGGAATTACAAGGCATCGCACCGTAGTTCATACACCACAGCAGAACGGCGTAGCGGAACGTATGAACCGTACCATCATGGAGAAGGTCTGATGCATGCTATCTCATTCGAAGTTGCCGAAGTCTTTTTGGGCCGAGGCCGCTTCAACCGCATGCTACATTATCAACTGTTCCCCTTCTCGTGCTATTCAAAAGAAGACCCCATTTGAGCTTTGGTCCGGCCAACCTGCTGATTACACGAAATTGATTCCATTTGGATGTCCAGCATATGCCCGAGTTGATAACGGTAAATTGGAACCTAAGGCAATTAAATGCGTCTTTCTCGGATATCCGACAGGTGTTAAAGGGTTCAAATTATGGAGCCCGGAGCTAAGCAAGGTTTTGACATCTAAAGATGTGACCTTCGATGAAAAAGCCATGCTTCATCCTATCTCCAACATTCAGACCAGAGAAAATGAAAATTCGGAAAAAGACAAAGTTCGAGTGGAGGTGGAGTTTCCTTTAAATTCATCTTTCGAGGACCAGTCTCATGAAGGTGTCGAGGTTTCTCAACCCTCGAATAATCAACATTCATCTTCTCATGAGCCAACCGAAGCTCCAAGCCAACCTCACAGTCCCTCCATTGCAAGAGATAGACCTCGCAGACAGATTGTACCTCCAAAGAGATATGTTCAAGCCAATTCTGTCGCTTATGCACTTACAGTTGCCAATGAAGTTGAGTCTGTTCTGGAGCCCACAAGCTACAACGAGGCCATTCAATCCAAACATTCTAATAAGTGGATGGTTGCCATGCACGAGGAGATGGAATCTTTTCAGAAAAATGGCACATGGGATCTCGTTCCAGCTCCAAAGGGTAAGAAGACAGTTAAGTGCAAATGGGTCTACAAGTTGAAGGAGGCTATCCACCCTGGTGACAAACCAAGATATAAAGCTCGTTTGGTAGCCAAAGGCTACAGTCAAATCCCAGGTATCGATTATACCAACATTTTCTCTCCGGTTGTGAAACATACGTCAATACGTGTCTTGTTGGGATTAGTTGCCTCTCATGACTATGAATTAGAGCAACTTGATGTTACTACATCATTCTTAAATGGTGTGCTTGAGGAAGAGATATATATGCAACAACCTGAAGGTTTTGTAGCTCCTGGCAAGGAAAGCTACATGTGCAAATTGAAGAAGTCTCTTTATGGCCTCAAGCAATCTCCTCGACAATGGTATAAAAGGTTTGACTCATTTATGACCAGTCACAAGCTGAAAAGGTGCACCTACGACAGCTGCGTTTACTACAAAAAGTGTGACGATGGTTCAATGGTCTATCTACTTTTATACGTGGATGACATGTTAATTGCAGCGAAGAATATAAAGGAGATTCAAAAGATAAAAGACCAGTTGAATGCTGAGTTCGATATGAAGGACTTAGGTGCTGCCAAGAAAATTCTAGGAATGGAAATAGTGCGAGACCGTAGTGCAAGAACTCTATACCTTTCTCAACAAAGCTACATTGAGAAGGTTCTGCACCGTTTCAATATGCATGACGCAAAAGAAGTCAGCACTCCTTTCGCAGCCCACTTCAAGCTATCATCCGCCTTAAGTCCTACCACCGAAGAAGATATAGCATACATGGCAAAGGTACCATACTCCAGCGCTGTAGGATCTCTTATGTATGCTATGATTTGTACACGTCCAGATTTGTCATATGTGGTAAGCATGGTGAGCAGATACATGGCGAATCCAGGAAAGGAGCATTGGCTTGCTGTTAAATGGATTTTTCGCTACTTGCGAGGTACTTCCTCTTTATGTCTGCGGTTTGGAAAAACCGATAATGGAGTACTTGGTTATGTGGATTCCGATTATGCAAAGGACTTGGATAAAAGACGATCGATTACAGGGTACGTGTTTACTTTGGGTGATTGCGCAGTTAGCTGGAAAGCGCAGTTACAATCTACTGTAGCGTTATCCACCACTGAAGCCGAATACATGGCTGCTACGGAAGCAGTGAAGGAAGCCCTCTGGTTGAAACGGTTGATAGGTGAGCTTTCAAACAAGTTATCTGTTAACACTGTTTTTTGTGACAATCAAAGTGCAATATTTCTGACGAAGGATCAAATGTTCCATGATCGAACGAAGAATATTGATGTTCGTTATCACTTCATCAGAGATGTTATTGCTAAAGGCGATATTATAGTAAACAAGATCAGCATCAATGATAATCCTGCTGATATGTTCACTAAAAGTCTTCCAATAGCCAAATTCAAAGCATGTTTGGATTTGGTAGGTGTTTCAGATCGCATTTGAGCCTGATAGGCTCGTGGTGGAGGAAGTATATTTACTTTTCAAAATCAATTTTTTCTCATATGGTGTTTGCAGATTCTTATAGAGATTTGGAGTATGGTGAGCTGTTGATAAACTGTTTTGCATGATCATTGTGCAAGTTAAAGTTTTTTCATCCTGTCTCATTTGAAGTCAAGGTGGAGATTGTGGAAGTTTCCTTCAAACTTCAACATTGGATGATTTCTAGAATATCATTCTACACATGTGGTTTTAATTTGTCAAGAATGGGTGGTAGCATGTTTGTCAAGAATGGATGGTAGCATGTTTGTCAAGCTTGGATGGTAATAGACAATTGAATTCATACATTCATTTGCCTATAAAAGGAAATGAAACCAAGCTTATTAAAAATACCACACCTCAAATTACATCTTCATCTTTCTCTCATATTCATACAAATATATGTTTGATATATTTGTTTTTCTTTCCTCTATCTCTGTAAACACTGAATATTATAATAAATTGGTTCTCGGCTTCCTCCACCCGTGGTTTTTCCCGATTTGGGTTTCCACGTAAATATCGCGTGTTTTTTCTTTTTATCATTCGATTTATTCTTGGTTGATTATTCAAATAGTTTTATATTCCGTTGAATCGCTATCGTGATATTTGGGTTTTATACTTCGATCTTGAAGTTATCGATTATTTATTGTAGTCGATTTGTCTACATGGTGTTTTGTGTATTCTTTCGTGTGTTGTCATTCTGTGTGTTGTGTGTGTATATGTGTGTAATTCCATCACGGGAACAAGATTGGCTGAATATACTTCCTGGCTTACTGGTTTACTGGAGTAGAGTCTGAAGTTGGTCTTGTTGGAATTAACCCCAAGAAACATTGAATTAAAGCAATAACATGAACATTACGTATCAGAGAAGAGAGATGTTTATATGTGCACTAAATATAGCCTTTATTGATCAAGCATCAGTTACATTTACAAATACAATTCATACATATATATATACGTACCAATCATCACAATGTTTAGTGAACCATTGTGACTTTTGACCAATATAACGGTTCCTAACTTCAACTTCCTTCCTAACTATAACTGACTTCCTAACTGCAATAATTACTTTTCAAAAATACTAAAATAACCCTAAGTCTAGATTACATTTCCAACATTCCCCCTTAATCTTAGACTTTTACCAAGAGGGTATTTCTGGAATTTCACTTCTCCCATCATCTTTCTTAGTTTTTTGTTGCCGGTCATCATCTGCTTGTGTCTTGTGGTATGAATTTCCACTGTCAACATACGTAGTAGAAGACCATCTTCCTTCTCATCTTTTGTTGCTAGTTCAAGAAAAGAAACTGTTGTGTTTTCCATAGGTTCCATAATCATCTTTTCTTCCTCAAGCATATACTTGATATCCTTCACAAAACTAACCGCAAACCCAGAGAAAGTAGGATAAAACTCATCATCATGTTCATTTGGTTTCATTCGGAAACCCTCAAAACCATCTGTAGGATAAAACTCATCATCCAGAATCTTTTCATCAGAGACATTCACACAATCATCCACTAAATCTTCATCATCAATCATCATATCACAGAAAAACTTGCCCAGAATCTTTTCATCTGGATCAAGAATCATACAATCACTAACATCAAAAATAAACTTTAACATTACCGAGATCTTTTCAACCCGGTCATCAATCCAAACTTCATCCATTTGATCACCTCTTTTCTTCAGTGATTTTTCTTGTCTTTTCTCCCTCTCCCCCTCTGATATTTCTTCCTGTTTCCTGCATAATCCTTTAAATCTGGAACCTTGCTCTGATACCACTTTGTTGGAATTAACCCCAAGAAACATTGAATTAAAGCAATAACATGAACATTACGTATCAGAGAAGAGAGATGTTTATATGTGCACTAAATATAGCCTTTATTGATCAAGCATCAGTTACATTTACAAATACAATTCATACACATATATATACGTACTAATCATCACAATGTTTAGTGAACCATTGTGACTTTTGACCAATATAATGGTTCCTAACTTCAACTTCCTTCCTAACTATAACTGACTTCCTAACTGCAATAATTACTTTTCAAAAATACTAAAATAACCCTAAGTCTAGATTACATTTCCAACAGGTCTCTGGTTGCTATCATCTGATTTAAGTCTTTATGGGATAAAATGGTGTGATCACATTTCATATAGTACTGGATTGTTTTTCAACGTCCAAAAAAATGTTTCTTTGTCGAGCATAATTTTAACACTCACCAATTTCTGATTGTGAGCTATTTGGGTTATCATGGGTACGTGGATCACTAGACCGGGCATCATGATGCACGAAACCGGGGGTCGAGAGGATTCTGGCAACAAGAATATTTGTGGGGTTTGCATAGAACTGGATTGTTATGTGGTCATAGGTGAATGATATGTTAGTCTATCAGTGGTGTATTTATATTCCTAATGGACTGTTAAACTTCATATACAGGTGGTGTCGCTTTGTAAGATGTGTTTTTGTTCGGGGTTCATTATCCTTATAGTATATATCTGGCTGTTAAAGAAAAAAAAAGTACCAAATTTATCTGGAGAACGGATAATCTGCATGGCAGCATTGTAGTAGTCAGCATAGATGATGATGACACTGGGATGCAGCTCTCGGAGGTGGTTTAGTTTTGTTTGCAGCAGTTCATTGTGGTATTCGGCAAGCGTATTGAACTTGATGAGGCAACCGGTTCTGTTATCATACTCTTCTTCTTTTTCAAAGAAATGGCTTGTTAGAATCATACCAGAACACCCAATTGGAAAAGTTCCTGGAACAACCAGTGTTTGAGCCCCCATATTAATTAGTTCCTGTATTTAAAACTATTAGAGTCAATCCCAGGAGAAAATCATAAACTAGAAAAAGAAATTTGTGAATGCATGGTAAGTTGTTGGTAGTGATCATAAATTAACATATAGTTTGAATGATTTGAGTAGTTACATTAATTGCTGAGATGATGGTATCAATAACAAGTGGAACGTATGAATTGAGCTCATCGATTGGTTTATTATCAACAATTGGATTGTTGTAATCGGTTCCACCAATCTCTCCCATTAGGATCAAAGAACGCCCAATTATGTTTCTACAATCTGCCAACAATTATAATCAATACAAGTACTCACTAAATACTGTTTGAATCTCAAAATTATAAACAAGAATCTTTGACTTTTTAGAAAATTATAATCCCAATATATAACAAATATTATGCACACATATGGTTAGCACAACTGTATACAGTAGAAGCACATATGTATGTTTGATTACCTGAACCTGACGCGTTGCTGCAAATAAAAGGCAGTGATTGTTTAAACCATGTCAATTGATCTCCTAAAGAAACATTTGCTGCAGCATTAACAGTCCCTCTTGCTTCATGAAACGATGTACCCAAAGCTGTTGCAGCCACCACCGCGTAATTAAGTCCTTGTCCAAATTCCACCACTTTGTCATCCTCCTTGTCATGCAGAAACGGTGGTATCAATGGCAACCCAAGACTCTCAGCTTCAGGAAGAACAAAAACTCAAAATGAACTACATAGTTTGTTAATTAGAGACTATCTAGAAGATGTCAAATATCTAAAACAAACACTAGGGTTGGTACAAAGAAATCAATATGAAGTTATGATAATCATGGAAAAAAAAAAGTAAACTTAGATCAGAAACTTGCATGGAACAAAGATAAGGTTTCTCCAAGATGTAGGACAATTTTTAATTCACGCTTAGCATTACACATCTGGATTTTGCTTGTCCAGAGTGAAATGCTTTAGGTATTTGTCAATGCATGAACGAAATTCAATGTATGTAAGCAATGGTACTGACATCTAGAATCTGATTATATCGTATAGACATACCTTAAACCATAGGTCAAATTGAATCCTCAATCAAACAAAACTACTCTGAGTCGAGTCTATTCTGGGACAAACCAATTTCATCTACGTCCAATCAAATCTAGCCGTTTACTGTGATATATAAATTGTTCTAGCTAGGGCTCAACCATTACCAGTCACATTTGATAGTTATTAGTTTCACACACACACACACACAGGACTTACCTAGGAAATCGATGAGGAGGCGACCATTGGAGGCACGACCCGTGGGTTGATGAAAGAAGGTTTTTCCGTAAGGCCACCGAAGAGCATCAACGTCTGTGTGGGATATGGAGGCAATTTGTTTAATGTTTCCAGTGTCGGCCAGGGAGTCACCAAAGCTGAAGATGGTTGTATAGCATCCATTCACATACATGCTAGTATTCCATAACACCTGCAAAATCATTAAGAAGAATGTAATGGACCAAGAACATGTGGAAAACTCCATTAGAAGATGCTCCAAATATATATATGTTGTTTGAAAAGAAAGAAGGTAACAAAATTTCCTCCGGAAGTTATAGCATGGAGCTCCCATTATATAAACAAATCACTTATGTGGATAAATATAATGAAAAGAAAAATAACATGTTATTCAATTAAAATTTTGGATTTTTAACATGTTTTTTCATTTTATTAGAAAAACATGTATGGTTTTTTGGATTTTTAACATGTTTTTCATTTTCTTGGTAAAACATACCAACAATGTTTTTTTCCACCTTTATCTAGCTAGGTTGTTTATTCTCTTTTCTATTAGGGTTAATATTTAAAAAGTAATGTGCAAAATGATACCAATATACTAAACTGCAAAAGAGTTTTAAACGTGCACATTTTGGACATTTTGAGAATACTTTTTTGTGGATGAGATCCTTATTCAAATTGAAATTAAGTGTCAAGGGTTAAGGGCACTTGAAATTGAAATTTCTTCTTTACTTAATTTTTTAATGTTTTTTGAAATTAAAATATTAGAAGGGAGTACACCCTCTTTTTGACAACTATCAAATTCAGGTCATTCTCGGACTCATTCAACTTTTTATAAACCATATATTCACATCATGCCAAGACCTAGTAGTATAAATTAGGTCAAAATCTTGTATAATCTTGGATCCAACTAAAATCTATGACTAATATACTTGACTCTTACGATTCAAGTAAGTTGTCTAGCTACTATAAGAAATGCCAATACCCGAATTAGAACGAACTCCAAACATTTGTTATGATTGAAAAAGGGTATAAAACCCTTAAAATAAATTAAAACCTTATAATTTCATTTCAATATGATGGTGAATATCAAACAATGTTCCAAAAACCCTAAAGAGCCCAAAAATCCAAATTTATAAACTTTAAAACCTAAAAACTCTATAAGATTTGTTATGAACCTCATTATATAAAATTTAAATAATCAAGTTATGGGATATAATCAAAGACATAAAAATTTAATTATCAAACATTAATCATGATTTATTAGTTCAAAACAAAGATTTTAAATAAATCAAGAATTAAATAAAGAAGCCTTTTTATAAAAATTGGGGTTTTATACAAATTTAAGGGGAAATTATATAAACTTGAATTAGGAGAGAGAGGACCTCTCTTATACTCATAAAATCCTTCACCCTCTCTCCCATGCTCTCTCTTCCCAAAATCTTCAATCATTAAACCCATTCTTACACTTCACATCCCTCTCTACACTCTCTCTCACACTCCACCCATTTACCACACTCAAACTCTCTCATTCTATCTCCAAAACCACAAAATTCTCCGGCCAAGAACACCTCTCAACCTTCAAATCTTCATCTTCTAGGGTTGTTCTTCAAGGTATTCACGAAAATCCTTCATTTTCCTTCACTTTCCTTCTTGTTTTAAAGGTTTTTCTTGCACTTCTTCTTCTTCTACACCATTCTTTATGAACATACATGAAAATATCCATGAAATTTCGAGTTTGATGATGATGGTGGTAGGGTTTCACCCAAAAACAACATGCATGTTGTTTAATGGTGAAATCCAAGGACCAAAACCTATGTCAAACCCTAAAATACGAATTTTTACAAATTTTAAAGGTTCATCTACCTTATGCATTCAAGTTTTTCTTTTGAAAACATCACTATGAACAAAATATGTCCATGCATGGTCTACAAACCATGATGCATGTGATGAACATCAAGTTAAAGAGTTTGATGATCAAAGTACATTGTTAATAGTGCATGTAAATGATTTTATTCATAAAAAAATCTAGATAACCTTTTCTGTTCGAAATAAAATTTTCTCAAATTCCCATTAAGATGATATGAGGATCTGGAAAATACGAAGAGCTTTTATCTTTTCTTTAATTTAATAAAATTATTACAAGAAAACAAGGCCATAAATCATTTAAAATACTTTCTTAGGTCTATAAATCCTAGGTAAATTCATGAATAACCCCTAAAATAAATGATGACATCTCAGTGAGTTTTATCGATTTTGGTTGCTGTTTGCTATGGTTTTAAATTTTGTTTTTGTTTAATCCAAGTAAATCATAAAACCACTTTAGGGAATGTGAAAAGGCTATCTAAGATTTTTCGCACATCCTACTGCATGTGGAATACTCAGACAAATATTTTCAGAATTTTTCATAATGCATAACTATTTTTCTCCTATTTTTGTATTTATAATGGACTAATAATGGAAAAAATAGTTATGCTCATCCAAAATACATGAAAAGTTACCTAAAAACCTTATACTATATTAGAACTCTAAATACAAATTTTGATGATTTTTATATTTCGTATACTATTTTTCGTTTATTTTCTAAGATTAAATACACTTAAATTGTCACACCCCGAAACCGATGGCGGAAACGTTCCGGGACGGAGGACGTCATATGTAGTATCACAACAGTTGTATCATAGTAAGCGAAGTAAACACAACCATTACATTATAATATGAGTATTTACATTGTTCAAAAACATGATTTATACATAACGGTATATGACAAAAGTAAAAGACGTGACTTCAGAATGTTCCGTCTTCTCCAAAAGTTGGCAGGAGTACCTGTCTATTGATGCCCTGAGAATACAAGCAGTTTTAAAATATCAGTATAAAGCTGGTGAGTTCATAAGCGTTTTAGTTCTGGTGAAAGAAATGTTTCTTTAATCCTTTGAAAATTGTTTCCCAAGAAAATCCTATATTTTCTTATGAAAGAAGTTCGATTATCCATTAGTTAAACAGCCTGTTTACGAAAGGTTTAGTTATCCCAGGAAAATCCTATATTTTCCTTAAAAGTTGATAGTTGGTTATCGATTCTGAAACGAGGTGTACAAGTATCTACCATACTTGTATCGTTAGATGTAGTTTCCTTGAAAAACCCTGTTTACTCTCAGTGAGATGTATTAGCCTTATTACATAAATAAAACTAATAAATAAGTAGTGAACTAGATCCTAAGCGCATTACTAATGCCCTCTAGTAATCAAATCGGTTATTACTTTGAGGTTAGTTCATTTGTTTCATTATTACAAAAGTAAATCTCTGTTATCTTGGTTGCGAGTTTTATAACCATACATTAAACTAGATATGGCACGAAACGGGGCCAGTATCCTTTTATGACTTTGTCACCCGTAGACCTAACGGTCCGACTGTAGCTAGCAGCGAGGTGCGGGATAGTCAGTCCCGTATAGATCTATACACAATAGTCACGCTCTCCCTACAAGAGATTCTGGTTATAATCGCTAGTCCTACACTCACGAATCCGGTGGAGTGTTACCAAGGACGTGTCTCCAATCCTAAAATAACAAACTTACAAGTAATAGCATCGAAAATCCTGTTTATGTTTTGTATAAATCCTTTAAAAAATATCACATTCTATGATAAGATTTACAAGTTCCTTGCTTTAGTTTTGAAAACTGTTTCTACGAGTTGATTTCTTAATGGATTGGTAAAACGGTTTTCTGAGTTAAAAGCATGCTGAACATATAATCATTCTATGCAAAATGAGATAACTTGAGCACAAGTTTCCTTGTACTTTTTGCTTGAATTCCCCCCCTGAAAACATGAAAAACTCGAAAAAAGAGTAGGGGTATGAACTAACCTGAAGTGAGTGATGCGGATGTAAGATCGGAAAAAGGATGCTATGTGTCAAGTGAAGTCTTGAGCACACGTACGGATCCTATTTAGCATATAATGACATATATATATGTATACAATTAGTGTTTACTCAACTAATTAAGAAGGATAACACCCTTATAGTCTAGGAAACACTTATATGGAAGTGTTACAATCACAAAGGATTGCTTAAAATGAGTGTATGGTCACCAAATGGAGCTTTCGGTCCAAGTGGTATGTTCCTAGGAGCTTTCGGTCCTAATGTTTCTCGGTCCGAATGGTTCTCGGTCCGAAGGTTCTCGGCCCGAAGGGTTCTCGGTCCAAAAACCGAAAACTGAAGATCTTTGATGCATGTGGTGTTTTTCAAGGGCTTTCAAACATGCATAGGGGTTCTAAGTGTTATCCAAAGCCTTAAGTACGTTTTAAGGTCTTAAAGGCACCTTTCTTTAGGGTTTTCGGTTTAAGGAGATGCACTAAGCCGAAAACTCCTTTTGTTCTTGGAGAATGACGATTTCAAGGCCTACATCAAGAGTTTCAACTAGAAAATAAGTGCAGGAAGTAATACTTACGATTTAGAGGCTAAAAGAGTTGATTTTTGGACCAAAACACTAGTGTGTGTTCTTGGTGTTCTTGAAGATTAAACCCAAAAAGATGAAGTTAATGGATGAAATCGAAGGGGGATGCTAGTTAGGAAGATCTATCAACGATTCAAGGTGAAAGAAACACTTACATTTTTTGAGAACTTGAAGATCAAAGTGAAGAACTCGATGATACTTGAGAGAGAATAGATGTTGTCTTGCTTGAAAAGGAAAGAATGATCCAAATGATCATGAAATATATATGTAAGATGGGGTTTTCGGTCCCTTGACCGAAAACTCTAAGGTCTTGACCGAAGATTCCTTTTTGAGGAGGTTTTCGGTTTGCTTCATGCCTAGTACTTCAACAAATTCATCCTAACACCGATTCCTTTGATGTACTAAGTTTAGAATATTTCGTTAGTCCAAAAATAATACTCATGTGAACAGAAATAAATCCGAATTGATTTATTTAAACGCAAAGTCTTTCCCAAACTATCAAATTTGACGGAATTAAATAAAAACCCGAATTTGATTAACGGAAATTGAGTAAGGATAATGGAAAAAGTTCCGGGTTGTCACATCATCCCCCCGTTAGAGGGAATTTTGTCCCGAAATTTGAACATAGAATACAAATCATGGATTAGAAAAAGAGATGTGAATACTTCTGTTTCATCTGATGTTTGCGTTCCCAAGTGAATTCAGGTCCCCGCTTGGCATTCCAGCGAA